CATAGATTGATCCCTATAGGGTGGGCTCCAACCCCCCCACCTCCGTTTCGCTTCGGTGCCAGGCGGGTCGAAGACCACCTGAGGAGATGGGCCTGGACAGGAGCCCTCAGACCACGCCTCCCACGTCGGACGGACGACGCACGGTGTTCCGGGTCCTTCACTGGACGTCGCGACGTCCGACCGGTCCAGGGCCGGGGGACGACCAGACTCCCCACAGCCCATGGCCATGGCCATGGCCTTTGAGGCCCCCCCCGCATGGCAGTGGGTACCGGAGCGTGAGATCGTGGTTCCACGGTGTACACTCGATCTCCGGAGATCACCGGTGCCATGATATTTGTGGAGATGAAAGTGAGTGAGTTCACCATTCGCACTGGTGACTCTTTTGGGGGCGATGATCAATGATCCACTTGACCATGAGTCGGTCGCTGGGAGACCCGTTTCGGTCGCTGGCCTCCCCCCTTTCTTTGTTTTCGTGCGCTCCGTCTTCTCGACTCGAAGAACGACCATCGAGTTCGAGAACCGGGTTGGCTGACTGGGGGAGATGTTGGAATCCGTGGAGTAAACACCTCCTGTTTGGAGCCATGTTCCATGGTCCTTCCAGCGGCCAGAACGTCCCGTTGGGTGGGCCACGACGTTGGAGAGAGGGGAGTAATAACCTGGGTGGTGGGTTCAGACATTTCGAGTTTCAACCTTTGCTTCAGCATGCTTGGATCTACTGACTCATATTTTTCATGGGAGTTGAAACCACGGAACCAGTACCAACCTGGACATTTGTTCGACCATGTTTAAAAAAGTGTTCAGCGACGTTGTCCAGGTGAAACATCCTTAGATAAGACCCATGAAAAGAATGGTCACAATGGGGTATTGTAGTCTAGAATCTTCTGAGTACAAGCATTTGGTTTCACCGGTTTCATCTGGGTTTCACAGTCAGTCTGAAATCTTTAAACACCGGTGCTTCTCACTTCAGACTTGCCTCTTCATCGCCGCGTCAGCTGAGGGCTGCGTGTCAGCTTGCGGGTCGCGCTGGTGAAGTTCACGTGCGCCCGGCCGAGCGGACCAGAGCCTACTGCTGCGCTTGTGGCTTTCGGATCGTGGAAGAAGATGGCAGGCCAATCTTCTCTCAGCCGCGGTGGTGAGCTTGGGCCAATTCTGCAAGTGTTTGGATCTTTGTATAGGTCTCTTAAGATGATATTTCAGCTCATCTTTCCAAGAATGAAGCGGTCTTACACTCCATGTCTAGGGCGGGGCTTTGCTTCTTCAAGGGAGTCCAGAAAAGACTAGAACCCAACTGGTCCAGGTCTCCAACTCCTCCGCGCGCGAGGCTCAGCTACGCGCGCCGCGAGGGGCGACCGCTCACAGCGGCGGAGGCGGCCGAGGAGGCTCGGGCAGCCGAAGGCGTGGCGGAGCAGATGGCGGTGGTGCTGGAGGCTTTGAGGAAGGCGAGATGGAGACGAGAGGGGTCGATGTCATTCGAGAAAAGGGAAGAACAATGGCTAGCCGCAAAAGAAGGTGGTGTTAAAGGGCGCTCCTTTTAAATAAGGGGGGTTCCTTATGAGAGTGGGCTCCAACACAACCTTTTTTGACTTTTTTGACTTCATCCTTTCGAAATGGACGGAGTGAGACGCTGGACCCTTAGACCTGCGGTCCTCGCAGCCGAGCTTCGAAGCGACCGGCAACCTCTACCAGAAATAGTTCTGCTTGTGCCGGCGCTGTACTTGAGATTCTACCCAGCCCACTACACTACTTGATGGTGCATGGTAGATCTCTATGAAGGTCAACCCTCTCCATGAAGGTCCATATGCCATGAAGCATGAAGAGCTTTGACACTCCATGTTTGGCCCAGGTGCCACACGGCCTGAGGACCTGCAAGTTCTTCTCGGCCTGGGATGGAGGCGGAGGGGCCGGAGAGGTCTGCGTCAGCCCAGGGGTGCTGGGGGCGAAGTTGTGGTTTAAACGCCATGAAAGGGCATGTGAGTTTCCCATCTAGAATGCAGAATGGCAGATGTTCTCTTATTTTTTTCAGATTTGGAGCATGGTGCGGGCGCGCAGGCAAAATATCATCTTTGGACTTGTAGCAGCGATTTGTGGGAATTGCAGCGCCTCGCGATTTGTGTACCCTAATGATATGGGGCCAGACATGGGCAGGAGACGTGGTTTTCCAGTTTTATGGAGACATGCTTTTAGATTTGGAATCAAGTAGGAAAAAACACGTGTCAGGCTGCAGCGAAAACAGATCTATTTTTGAGCTGGTCATGTGCCCTGAGGGCTGTCCTGGGTCGCACGTAGAGGTAGGAAGGTCGCCCCCTACGAATAGGGTCGCTGTCACCGCTGTCAGAGCTCGCAACGCGCAGGCAAAGAACCCTTGTGGTCCCCACTCCAGGAGGATCCACCAAAGGTCTTTCTATTCTAGTTTCTAGCATGAAAGGGAAGACCCCAATGACATGAGCGTTCTGTCTCTTGTTTCGGTGTCTTTGCCGGTCGCCGGATGGCTTGAACTCCTACCGGTGACCAAATCAGTCAGGCCATTTGGAGCTCCTCCTCACCTCCGCCACACCACTGACGACTGCGGCGCCCGAACGCTGCGCGGACGCGCTGCCCGTGCCCTGGCGGATCCGCAGCAAGGGCCGGCTGTGGCACAGCAGTGACTGGCAGGCGCCGGGGGGGGGGTATGAATCAAGAGTCTACATTACGGTGAATGTCTAATGTTTGGGAAAATTTTGTGGAGTTTTTGTCGGGTTCCTTGAGTTCCTTGAGTATCCAAGTCTTGGTGAGAGGGGTGAGCCAAGAAACTGCATTGGATAAGGACATCATCATGATGCGTATGCAGCCACCTATTGCAAGAAGTGATGCG